AAGCAAGAGAGATGCAGAACTTCCATCCTGCAGTTATTATTAAGGCAAAGACATGTCTCCAAGTATGTTCTAGGCCATTCTGGCTGTGGTAACTGAGTATTACTGACTTCTTGTATTCCCTTGTCATCTTGGCATGGTTGACCCACAGTAATTGCTGTTTGCTGTCTCCCTCTATTAGCTAAAAGCAAACAAATTAAGGAGAGGTCCACTATTAAGATAATTTAAACATACCTGGGCTGCTTTGACAGAGGCAGGTAAGCAACCTGGTCTATACATGACCACCAGAAAGTCCATGGATACAGAAAAGGGCTGACTAGCAGCTGAAGTCAAAACTTCCCATGGCTCAGTTGCAATCAGAATGTGTTGATAGTCCCTACTGACATGTTTTCCTTTCCATATACTGAGTGTGTGCCTTTTTTTCTTGAAAAAACTAAAAATATTTTATTGCACGTAGAAATGAAATTCCATTTTTATTTTCCTTACCTTGGACCAGAGCCACTTGGCTCTCTCTACGTAAAGCTCTGCGAGCGTGGACTTGCCGGCGTTCAGAAGAGCATTATATGCAGTCTGGTGATGACCAGCTTTTCTTGCAACTCTAGCACTCTGGAGCCAGCACTGGCCAACCAGCTCACTGTAATCCTGGCTGCAGAGATATTGTTGCAGAAAATGAAGCATTTCAGTCATGAATGCTACTTCAAAATCTGAAGTAAACACCACCAGGTGTTGAAACACAAATCAAATTTGTCACTGAGCTATATACAACAACATAATAATAATAATTTAAAATTATTTGTAATACATGTTTCAACTTTTTTTCCATTTAGACCTAGAAACAAATACTCTTTCTCCCTGTTTCTCCCCTATATTCCTACAGACACCACTTTTCCTCTTTATTTTGCAGGCACATAATATTGGAGAGGATACTTTTGTTTACAATGCATTTCCAGAGTTTCATCTTCTCTCTTGTAACATATATGGAAACCTGGAGTATTACTGAGAGTACAACATTATTACAGCATTAATACCACATTACAACACAGGAAACAGTAATGTCCTCACCTTTTGCTGAGACTAAGCAAAGCCCTTCTCAGTGCTAAAATGGGCTCTTTTGCTCTGTAAGAATTTTGGGTCATTTCAATACGAGCACACCAGTTGAGGGAATCTCTGCTCTGGTCACCATCTGGTTGCTGAAACATTGGCCCAATACTGTGTTCCAACTCGCACAGCATATGCAACCTGTGTCAGCAAATAAAAGGAAAAAAATGTTGTTGCTGTGTCCAGCTCTGGGTGCCTCACTTCAAGATAAACATTGAGATGCTGGAGCATGTCCAGAGAAGGGCTATGGAGCTGGTGAAGGGCCTAGAAAACATGTCCTATGAGGAGCAGCTGAGGGAGCTGGGTTTTTTTAAGTCTGGAAAAGTGGAGGCTCAGAGGACCCTTCTACAACTACCTGAAAGGGGTAGTGGGAGTTGGTCTCTTCTGCCATGTCTCAAGTGAAAGGATGACAAGAAATGTCCTTAATAACCAGGGGAGGTTCAGATTAGATATTAGAAAATGTTTTTTCACTGAAAGAGCAGTCAGGCATTGGAATAAGTTGCCCAGGGAGGTGGTGGAGTCACCATCCCTGGAAGTGTTCAAGAGGCATCTGGATGTGGCATCTGGGGACATGGTTTAGAGGTGCTTAAGGTGCTGCTGGGTTGATGGTTGGACTAGGTGATTGTGAAGGTCTCTTCCAACCTTGATTATTCTGTAATTCTGTGATTTTGTGAAAATAGGTTGCTGTTTGAGATACGTGCAAATTTTACAAAGTTTTTGCCATTTTCTTTCTAAAAGATGACCCTGTAAGGAATGCCAACCAGTAGAACTTCTAAAAGCAAAAATGCAGCAAAACCAAGCACAAAAAAATCAAGGATTTGTAAACTGACTAGTTATTTCCTCACTATTCCTTTGCCAAGATGCTGAACACCAAGACAATGAAGATCACTTGGAGAGGAAGTCAATCTTTAGAAAGAGTATTTCTATCCATTGCTTTTAGCAATAATTCCTCCAGAAGTCTGATATTTTCAACAAATCCCATTTCAGAAGCAATATACTGTTACTTAAAGTTATTCCATTCATTTTAGACTATCCTTATTACGTGTCACTGTAAAGCTGCAAAGCTGAGAGCCTGTAACCACCTCAGCTCTCATGGGCAGAGTCTAAGTGTAGTGGGTACATCTGACAGAAAAACAGGCACTGCTGGAAGGCTTCAGAGTAGTCTGGATCAACAGCTAAAGCAAAGTACTTAGAAACATTTCTTTGCCAGTACCCAGACTTCATTTCCTAAGTAACACTGCAGAAATTACCAACAGACAATAGAATGAACTAAAACACATACCTCAGCTGGCTAGTTTCAGGCAGTATCTTGCCATAATGATGCAGTTGCAGTGCAGAGGAGTATTAAGCATTTTCACTAAAAAGGTTACTCACTTTTTAGTCCACTACAACCAGCTTACAAGTTTATTCATGAAGAAAAAGTAAAGCTACTGAGAGGGATGGGGTTCAATTCTTACTGCTCTTGCTTGAGAAAATAAGGCCTTTGGCCTCCAAACAGTTAAAAGCAATGTTTGTAAATATGTACTCCTTCAGGCATGGAATTAAATTGCAGATTTTCATTACCTGAAAATAAGGTGCCTCCAAACAGTTAAAAGCAATGCTTGTAAATATGTACTCCTTCAGGCATAGAATTAAATTGCAGATTTTCATTACCTGATGTTTGTACAAACTTCCTTGCTGATTTTGAAAGGCAATACCTAACAGTTTAATTGTGAACATTTTTCATGGGGGATAAATATATATTCCCAATTAGTTAAAGGCTTTCAGTTGGGTGATGCCTCCAAACAGTTAAAAGCAATGCTTGTAAATATGTACTCCTTCAGGCATAGAATTAAATTGCAGATTTTCATTACCTGATGTTTGTACAAACTTCCTTGCTGATTTTGAAAGGCAATACCTAACAGTTTAATTGTGAACATTTTTCATGGGGGATAAATATATATTCCCAATTAGTTAAAGGCTTTCAGTTGGGTGAGTATTAAGAAAAAGAGGTGACAAAAAATGCACATCAGTACTGAAGAAATGCAAACTTGTTGCTGCTGCATGCTTGATCAAGTGATTTCAGGATTTGAAAATAGTGAGATGAAAGTGAGAAACCTGATAATGTGTTCGTATCCTCGCTGATAGGATCCTCTTTCAAAGCTTGCTGCTGAAAGGGGAACAATCTGTTCTGCTCGAACAATCTTGAGGGTCTCATAAAAAGCTGCTTCATTTTTCTTCTTGGCTGATAACAGTAAATGTCCCAGTCTGACACTCCAAGTAGTGGACTTTACATCTTTGGGGAGGAAAAAAAAAAAAAGACTGTTTCTTTAACCAGCTTAATCTGGACATGCCAATTTGTCCTAACATACTCCTGGAAAAATAAGTTTTTCTCAGAACTCATTAACTGAATTTAGTAACACTGTATATAATTCTACCCCACAATCCACCCACCCAAGCAAAGCCAAAAGAAATTGGGCCTCACATGTGCTTGAAACCTCTACCCAAAGACTATCCAGTTTGCAATCAAACACAGGTACAAGCTCTGGAAGGCTGTCAGAACCAACCCTCCCACCAGTAAAACCCACAACTGAAAAATAACAATAACTGCCCCTTGGATTCAAGGTGATTAAACTAAAACATACACTCGTTCAGAAATGTAATGAAGTATTAATATTTTTATATCATGATACCTTACCTGAAGCCAAGTAATTTTCCAGTAAATCCCACTGTGACAGTTTCCAGGCTGCCTCCACTCTGTAAGTGTTCAATTCAGAAATCCATTCAGACCTACAAAAAAACCAAGGGCAATAAAACTTTTTGCTGCCTCCCTTCAGTATGTTAATCTGACAGTATATTAGCAAATATTCTTGATATGAAACTTCTCTTACTTGAAAAGAAGCAAGGTTTATGCTTCTAATAAAAGCCAATGAAATCAAAGGACATGCCTTGCTAACAAATAAAGAGTTGTACAACACGATCCCACAAATGCAATCTCCAAATAGTGTGTTTAACTTCTATGGTACACGTTAAAAATTACCATGGAATTCCTAACATGGAAGACAATGAAAGATTCTATCTCACAAATTAAAGCACATACCAACACTGCATACAGCACAGACAAGAACTACTAAAACTTCTGGATGTCTTGAAATAATTTATAGACAAGGCACTTAGTTTTCTATCTTCACACTGTTAATTGGATATGCTTGGTAAGCCTCAAATGCTTGATAATGAGCAAAAATAGCTACTGAGACAGATTTGCACAGGACCTTCAAATTACTCAAACCTTGTGCCAGATGCTTACAGTACCTGTTTGCTAGGACTCCATTGACCTGAGTGATTACAGTAGATAACTGACCAAGGCCTAACATGGACTTCACTACTCCGTGATAGTGAATAATCTAGAAAGAGGGAATAAAGAAAAAAGACAATAAATAACCCCCACACACATATACATTAATGACATTTATGGCAGTCTGAAGGCAGAAACGTCCATTTTGGTTCTCTTTATATGAAAAGGCATAACTGATTGCAGCATAGGTTAAATGAACATTCAAGAAATCCATTAACAGATTTGTTTCAGTTCATAAGACACTTCCAATACCAACAGTTATTCAGCAACTGCCCTGACAACCTCTTATATTCCCATTTTACCTAAATAGGCCAAAGAGGCTTTTTTGACTTAGTCTTGCATGAGTTAAGACTAAAAAAATAATCAAATTTGTTTTCTCTTTACCTGATCAGGTTCCAGCTGGATAGCCCTATCGTAGCAGGCTGTTGCATCTCTTAACAAGCCAATACTCTCATGTTCAAGGATCTGCTCTTTGAGAGATGGTTCTGCTTTTCGAATGGCACTCACCCCAGCCACTCCATCTGGCTCGTGCATAGCAGCATACAGTTTCTTTATCCAAACAGAATTGGAAATGGACATTAAAACAAGAATTTATTCTACACATAACCTGTTCAGAATCACACATCTTCTTGAAAATGGAGCATGCACTGCTCTGTAGAACAACTTGGCCTTAGGTTTTCATGGGAAATGTCAGTTTTGCTGGGCTACATCCAGAGTTGAGCCCTACTTTTGCTTTGCACACCATAATACTCAGGATTTTGTATTACAGATAGAATTACACATCAAGTTACCTGAAACAATCTGTATAAAGGTCAGAATAACTACCATACCATTACATGATAAAGTTGTATAATATGAAGATGAAGATTAATTTAGGTGTACAAACAACATACCAAGTTTTTTTAGATTGGAAATGGCACTGAGGAATATAAACTTTAAGGAACCACAAATGAGATCATCCCACAGACTAAAATACTTCTTGAAAATAAATGAAATCATTTTAAACACCCTAAGCATTGGCTCTTTCTCTACTTTAGAAAAAAGCCACTTGGATTTTCTTCAAATGTGCTCTGGCTTTTTTTTTTGTTGTTGTTATTACAGTAGGCTGTGTTTTCTCTGACAAAAGGCACAGAGCTAACTAAAAGCAATAAATGTTGTACTTCCTACAAAACCACATTTAATTATTTTCAGGGTTTTACAGTCTTTTATTATACACTAGAAAGCTCCTCATTCCTTTTCATATAAGAATGCCAAGCAAGAGGAAGTACTACCCACTGCTGAAAGACAGATGACTAAACACTTGCATCCAACAGCAAGTGCCTGACTACATCTTGTCTTCTTCCCACCTCAAACAATTTCACAATGCTTTATACATCAATGTACATTTTGATTTTAAAATAAAAACCAAACCAAAAAGAACTTCAAAACCTGAAGAAATCCAAGATGTTCCTGAATATTTTGTTTTTTCTCTGTGATGAATGATTCAAAGTGCATCACGGCCCTTGTGTAAGCCTTCGAGCGGAAGGAAGCCACAGCCAGTGCATCCTGAGGTATGAGGTCCAGAAAACGTGTCACATTTTGATATTCTCCATAGTCTGCACTCGATGCTATTGACACAAAGACATATTAAAGTCTGTCAACTGAAGTTTCATTTACAGCAACCACCTTATGCATCAAAATTCAGTTCATTCATTTAACAATGTGGTGAGATAATTTAAGAACGTGTTTTTCTCCTCTGCCAACATTAATTGATTGAAAACAATCCTTCCTACCCTTGGCAAGACAGCACAGAGTATGTTAAACTGAACCTTTAGAAAACTACCAAGAAATTAACATTTCATTCTAAAAGTTTTGAATCTGTATTTCTTGCAAGAGGCATTTAGAATAATGCACTGAAGTAGAGGGGTGGAAATCACAATCTGGTATTAAGAAATCAGATCAGAGATAAGATATCACAGTAATATACACTGTCAAGTGGTCATAGTGTGAAGCAGCAAACGTAAATACTTATTGGAAGAATGCAAATGCCACTTTACATAAAAGAAGCATCACTCACTTTTTAGATCATTCCTGTCTTTGCTAGATTTGCCTGTACTTTTCTCAGCAATAAGTAGTTGAAACTTATGCCTAGCCCACTGAGTGAGGTGATCAAGCATGGAGAACACAGTCTGTGTGCTCAGCTGGCTTAGGTCAGATGCACTGCTGCACTGGTCATCATGCTTCAGAACAGCCATGATCTCCACGTAAACCTACGGAAACATTGAGACAAAAGACAGGATTGGCACACCAGCATCAAAATAATAGGAAACAGCAACTAACACAGAAGTCAAACTAAAATAGTAGGTATTTTAAATGCATATTTTAATAATTTGGGCCTTGCTTTCAAGTTCTGTTTACCCCACAATCCCAAGAGGAAGAAATGGCAAACCAAGTAGCAGCTTTTGTCAGGAGATTCCATACAGGGAGAAAGCCATTAGGTTTCAATACACAACAAATTGCAACTGCACTTCTACAAATAAAATACTTCCAGGTTTGATAAGAGCAAAGTTATCTAACGGCTACTAGATCACAGATCTACCCTTTTGCTTATGTTAAGTAAATGCCATGCCAAAAGACATGTTTCCTGTTTGTTTTAGCCCAAGGAACAGGAGTTAACATATCTAACAGATGCTTATTGTGGATGTACTTGTACACGTAACAAAAATCATCGCATACCTTTACAAACTGCCAATGTTTATACAGTGATAACTTAGCTGTGAAATATCAAATTAATGGAATCTAAGTTGTACTCTTCAGCATTTTCTCTCTAGAGAAGCTGCTGAAGAGTTAGAACTCTGTTGTTCATCCAGGACATGCTTCCAAAAGAGTCCATGCAAACGTGCATCTCTCTGTACATACCTGTGCTGCACACAGAATGACAGCTAAAGCAAACTGAAGGAAAACAGGCCAAGTGACTCTTCTCTCCTATCCCTGCTTTGCTACAACATGGCTGTGAATCCTGCTCCACATGAATCTGGTAGCTAAATCCACAGAGAAGCAGTTCGACACAAACTTGTATATACTAAACCCTGACAGAAAATTTATATTATTGATAAACATGAAGGAGTTTAACAGCTAAGCAATTTATTCATGTAGGTCTACAGTAATTCTGCAGAGCTGAACAGCTCCTGACCATTCCTACTAAAAACACTACCATCTCATACATCTCACCTCTTGCTGATCCTCTTGACTGCATCCCAACAAAACATAGACAAGGATGTGTGGAAGCAGATAAATTGTCACTTTATAGTCATTTTTCATCATAATACTGCAGCAATCAAAAACTTTTCTAGCAAGATCATGTCGCACCTGTAGAAAAATAGTTTCCAGGAAAAGCATCATTACTAAAGTGCAAATACCTGAACAATTAATATATTTGCTTTTGCTGACAAACAAATCCTACTCCATCGAATCACTTTAAGACACGTGTCTCCTACAGAAGGTTCTTTTGTTGACAAATCCTATTCCATCGAATCATTTTAAGACACGTGTCTCCTACAGAAGGTTCACTAGACTTAAATCTGCAACACAGATGTCAGATGGCAGCTGCTATGACATGTATCAACGGCTGATACCACAAAAAGAGAGGAAAGCATTGCCTACATGTTCCACTTTTCTGTGTTTTTCACACTACTGTGAGCTTGCACTGGCCATAGAACAAACCTTAAGGCTGAGAGTCTACCACTGCACTCAGCCTCTCTTCTGCCCTTAAAAGCCTGCAAAAAGTGGGAAATTGTGAAGACATTCAATTTCTCTCTGTCTGAAAGACAAGAGGACAGTGTAGCTACTGAGCTATTGTAACTCAATTCACTTCTTACAGTGGTTGACCCACTGAAAATTTCACTTCCAAATCACCAAGATACTGCAAAGGGGAAATAAAAGAAAGAGACAGTACTTTTTATGTGCTGGGATTGTGGAGCTATGGCGAAAGCTTTCCAAAACTGAGAAGAGAAATCCAGAAGCATTTCAGATACTTTTCAAAAGCATTTGTCAGTGCCTTGGGTTTTACAAGAGCCTCTGGACAAAGGCAAGTTTCCCAGACTTTTAGTGTCAACACTACCTGCAAAGCCTAGCCAAGCAACAACAATGCTGGGGAGGAAAAGGGCCTGATGAAAAAGCAGGTATGTCCTGTAAGAGGCCTAAGGCCAGTAGGGATATTCCCCCATCCATCCCTGACTTCCAGAAACCAAAACTGCAGTTCAAGAACTGTGTTGTATCTAGCAACATGGAAAGCAGATGTATTCTCTTACCTTTGTTATAAGATAACCTGCCCAAGTTGCTGACCATTCTGCAAAATTATCACCTAATTTGCTTAAGTAAATTGGCTTCTTCATCTTAGACCAATTTACAGCCTTTTGGTAGCTCTTGTACCTATAATTTTAAAATATCCATTTAATAAAACCAACTCTTTATTTAATATAGCAAACAACAACACATCATTAATGATGAAGTTCCCTAGCTGGAACAATATTAAGTTTCATCTTCTGAATCATTAAAAATAGAATTTAGAAAACACTTTCAGTCATCAACTCCTTTTATTCTACAGCTTTTTAAAATGAAGCATGACATAAAAGTTCTGGTGACATGTTGGGTTGTTTGTAAGTGTATTTCAAAGTGCTATTCAAATCAGTTTTAAGACAGACAATTTGATAAACATTTGAGTACCATATTCTTGACAAGAAGAACCCAGAACATGCATGAAAGCCAAGAAAGGCCAGAAAGTTTGTTTTGTAAAACGATGAAGCTTTTCACAGAGGAGCATGACTGTCTTCACAAGGAAAGAGAAAGGAAACACTGATTATTTCAAATTAAGGCACGCAAGAAGTTGAAGTTTTCTTCAAATTATTTTTATCATTACTTCAACAAAATGAAAAATTTAATTAAAACTCAATGAGGTCCTTCTACTTCTCTGAAGGGAAGCAGTAAAAGGATATTAATAGATCTGAGTACAGAGAAAAGAAAACAGAAACAAAATCTTCAAAACATCATATGGGCTAGTGCTCTAGGGACAGACAGGCAGGTCTGGGCAAAGTACAAGCTCTGAATTTGGCTCGCTGGATTGAGAGAGAATTACATTCAACTAAGAGCTAATCCAGCTTTACGTACAAAGACCTGATCTGAATTCTCTATATACACATATTACTCTTCAAAGAAGAGTAACAATCACAAAACAAAAAGTCTAGAAAAAAAAATTAAATCTGTTGTGAAAAGAAATTGCTTAAGCTGTCACATACCGTGTGTTTAGGTGAGGTTCCAAGATCTCCTGCACATGCTCAGGAAACCTCCTCCAAAGCCTGGAGCCTGGGCAGTCAGTGCCTGTCTCTCTACAGTCATAGATAGACAGCAACTCCTGAAAAGGCATGGATTGCATAACCAGCTTAGCACTGAGAATTTTTGTGACCTGGTGTATATGATCTTAGAGGCCTTTTCCAACCTTAATGACTCCATGAGAAGTAATGAGATAGAAGTTACAGAATGCTTAATTCAGAAATGGTGACTGTAAAACTGTCATGTAACATTGCCAATCCCCTATTACTAGGCAGTTTTGATTTCAGCTACCTACTGATTCCCCAGCTTCCCCAGCTGGTGTTTGGACCACATTATGCCTTATCCTTTGCATGTGCCAATTAGCCAGGACTAAAGGTTAGTCTGATTCCTCCTTGTGCAGAAAGCACACAAGCATGTGCATAAGCTAATGAAATGTTCTTGTTCTGCTGACTACACAAGATCACTTATCTTCTCCTGGACTGTCCCGAAGTTTTCACAAAGATATTAAACATCAACAGCAGCCACCAGAAAAGAGACCAAAAAACTCCAACCAGTAAATCAAACCATCACAAAAGACTGGAGCTGGAAAATAAGGTTAGGCTCTCTTTCAGTTGCTTCTTAAAAGCATAAGCATAAACCATCTTAGGAATACTTAATGCTTTTCATTTCTGCCTGTGGAATCTGCACTATTTCTATGTCACTCTCGGGATTACTCCTTGAATCACTGTGTATGGACTGTTAGTTACCTCTGAAACAACAATTTTTTTTTAATCACCTAAAGTATTGTGACACTAAAGCAAACATCTATCTTTTATTTGACAAGTCCCCAGAATTTTAAGTGTACCTTTTAACTTAAAGCTGCATAGGATGAAGTTTCAAATACTCAAACATGTACTTCAAAATGAAGATTTACATTGCATAACAATGTTATAATAAATAATTTGGGAGGAAAAAATAGGATCTAACCATGTATCTTACCTGAATCGCATATGCTGCAGAATCCTGAGCACGAACATTGTCAGCATAAGCAAGGAATGCTCTGGTCAGTTCCATTAATAATCCATAGGCAAAATTTGGATCTTCCACACCAGCCTTAATCACAAACAAAATGACAGTCTTAATAAAACAGAGTAATAACTGTATCTTTAATCTCTAAATATTCACTGGGAAGCCTGACTCTAAACTGTTTTAGGGAAGAAAGCAAGGACAGAGTTTCAGAGGGGTTAAAGATAAGACATTCCCTACTCCTAAGTACTTTTAAAAGAAGACCCTTAATGTGAAACAAAACTGTGCTGGTTTGAGCTGAAGTAGAGTTAACTTTCTTCACAGAGGCTAGTATGAGGCTATGTTTGGGTTTTGTGCAGAACACAGAGTTGATAATGCAGAGATGTTTTTGTTATTGCTGAGCAGAGCTCACACAGAGCCAAGGCCTTTGCTGCTTCCCATACTGCCACACTGGCAAGGGAGTTGGGGATGCATGGGAGATTGGGAGGAGACACAGCTGGGACAGGTGACCCAAACTGACCAAAGGGATATTCCATACCATAGCACATCATGCTCAGTATATAAGGTGGGAGGAAGAAGGAGGAAGGAGGGACATCTGGAGTGATGTGTTTGTCTTCCCAAGGAACCGTTACGCGTGATGGGCCCTGCTCTCCTGGAGATGCTGAACACCTCCTGTCTGTGGGAAGCAGTGAATTAATTCCTTGTTTTGCTATGCTTGTGTGTGCAGCTTTTGCTTCCTCTATTAAACTGTCTTTATCTCAACCCATGAGTTTTTGTAGCTTTTACCCTTCTGATTCTCTCCCCCATCCCGTTGGTGGGGGAGTGAGTGAGAGGCTCTGTGGTTCTTGGCTGCTGCTGGGGTTAAACCACGACAAAAACACTACAGCAAACACTTCTTACCACAAAGGTAAAATGCTTTCCTTGAGTTTCACTTGTTGAAAAATCCAGCCTGCCAGGATCTATGGCTCCCAGTTCACCTAAACATTCTCCACAAAGCAGTCGAGCCTGAGGGTTTGCATCCTGGCAGCCGATGAGAAGCACAGTTACCAGCTGGGAGATGACTGGCTCCACAGTCTCACTGTCTGTTACATACTTGATCAATTTTTCCTAGGAAGTTGAAAAATAAAGATGAGTTATTCTACAATCGTGTTTATAGGAAATAACCTCAGAAATTTTCATTCTGTAACTCAGTCTTACTTCTGATTTCATTTGCCCATGACTTTCACTTAGTGACTCAAATACTGCCTTGCTGGAACTATGGCCCAACTGCCCTAAACTGCTTGTTACCCCAGGAAGAACTAAACAAAGAATGAGGGACTTGAGCCTCAATTAATAATGCTGTCATAGCCAACAGTTTATTTCTTATTTTCTTTCCTTTCTTTCTTGCCAAGAACATCTTCTTTTCTACATTATCTTTTTTACTTATTTGTCTCTTTTCTTCATGTATTCCAATACTTCCACTTCTTTCATGTAAGTGTTGTCATATTTCTGGTTTTGCTGCCATTTGTATCCTTATCATTTGCCATTTCTTGGCCATTTCTTCACTCTCAGTCCTACAGAGCCTGGGGTTTCAAGTTCTTCAATCAATGCCCCTCATTTTAATGGGGTGTCCTTTCTTTTTCATTTTAGCCCAGCGTTTATTCCCCACTTCCACATTTAGTCCAAATACAGCAAAAATGAATATGTTTGTCATTGGTACATTTAGTAAAATCTGGAACCACAGCCAACGTAACAGAGCAAATAGTTCCATAAGGTGTGGAACTAATTAAGTTTGATTTGCCTCAATTATTTTGCTAGACTTCTAAATAGACAAAACATGGCAAGATTTTGCTGACCTGAGCTGCAAGAATTACTGATTGGCCAGGCACATACAGAGATTGATTATTCTTTTAGCTGTGAGGGGGTTTTTTTAAAGTTTTTTTTTTACTAGAGAGTGTCCCACAGTCTTACAGCTGCTAAGGGGACCATAATAGTTCACATACACCCTCTGGGCTAATAACCACACATTTGTAAAGCAGTATCTTCAACTTGTAGATGCCTATAAAATTTATTTGAATATGATTATTGGACTCAAATTTTTGAGGGTGGAAGGCAAAGAAAGAAGAGGAAAAAACTGAAGCTGTGAGGTGGTCAAACACATCTTAATTCTTTCAGATAATATACTTACACAAAAGGCTGGCTTTTCTCTATTAGGCTCCTGATGCAAGAGCCATACATGTTCTAACAGGGAATAAACCCACACAGTAGACTGCTGAAATGGACTTCTTGGATACATCTTTCCTCAGTTAAAAAATCCAGAATGTATCACTAGGCTTGCTGAATCAGCATCACAAAGATTTGGAGGATTTAAAAGTTGTCCTACAGAGATCCCTTTTCCCCATTCTATGAAGAACCAGGTAGCTTAATAAACTGAGGAGAGCAACACAGCTCATGTGAACACCCAGTAACAGTCAGAATCTTTAGGCTGTTGGTCCAGACGATTTGTGTTTCGTTCTGCTGAGGGAGGTTTGCCATACCTGATTTCTATACAATGTCTCTTTCAGGTTGGTAAGCGCGTGAATACGAACGTCCACGTTCTCATGCTGAATAGCTCTCATAGACAGCTGCAGTGTCATCTGCAAGTCAGTGCTTTTGGAGGATTCCTAAGCAAGATGTGACATAAGAAGTTCAAGTTAAGCATAACGGGAACATAATTAGGCAGCATCTCAACCAACACAAGTGAGAACACATGGAAACAATTATCTTTCTGCTTACATTCTCACCTGTATCCATATACTCACTGTTTTCCTGCCTGTTTGTAAAAATGTTTTCCTCAAAATGGTGCTATATTTACACTTTTTGGTAAATATAATGATAGTGTAAATAAAAAATATGAAATCAGAAGAAAACGCTTTGCTTTCAAAGTCTATCTAAAATCAAATTAATTTCTACTTCTATTACCTCATTCCCACAACATAGTTGCTGCTTCCCACCGATTATCTAATCATTCTCAGAGCAAGCAAAAGAAATGGACCATAAGAGCACTCCTAGAAACAAACTTTGTGCCCTTGAAAGAGAATATGAAAGAGGGATCAAATGAAAAGTAGCTTCTCTTGTAACACAATGACTGCCATAGCTAATACTGCTGACTTTTCATCCAGTAATCTCTTTAGTCTCACAAAAAGGTGGAGAGTTGGCACCCAGGAGATGCTACAGAAACAAGAGTGTTATACATGAGCATATTTCAGTCCTAAAGAACAATCAGAACCTGCTTCAAAGTATTACTGTGATACACAAAACCTGCTTGGTGGTGGAGGCAGATAAATAACATTTCCACTGAACAATAATTTGTACATGTTTTCTCAGTTGTCATGAAACCATTTGATGCATTAGAACCAAAATAAAAAAATAAAAAAAAGAAGTTGTACCTTTCTGTATTCCTGGAGGACAACCTGAATTTCTTTTAGTTCAGGAAGGTCAGGCAGAAAATATATTTCATGTAGAAAGTCTCGTACTGCATCCCTAATAGTGACCAAAAATATTGCAAAGAACATAGCAAACATTAGTTGGAACAGAAGAATACTAAAAACCCATCAAAAGAAAGCAATGAGGAAATTTCTCAATTTTGCTACCACAGCCTTCTACAAGAGACTTACTGTTCCTACTGCCATGTTTCATTTTGAATACTTTTGCTAGGACACAATGCAAGAAAAATGAAAACCCAACAAAAATAATCAAGGTATTAACTATCAACATTCATAAAAAAATTTAAAAATACTAGTTTAAAGCTACGAAACATAAGATGAAAGAGAATTAAGACTCATCATTATCTTCAAAAAGGTTGTCATGAAAGTCAAAGTATTTTGTATTAAACTTTGATTTTATTTTCAGTTGGTCTTGTCACTTGAAGAGAATGTATGAAATCTTACTCAACATTATCATCTGTCCACCTCATAATTGTAACTCTAACTATTGAAGGAAACAAAGAACTCATTTCCTCCCCATTTCTAACTCTGTACACTTCTCTCTAGCTGAAAGCAAGTGTCAGCAGCCATCATTATGCTGTACAGGGAAGTCATTTTCCACAAAAGCAGAAAACTGTCAGGGTTAAGTGTCTGAGTAGGCTGTCATTTGGCCACAGCATCACATACTTTTAAAAGGACAATAAAAACACCTTTTCAGATGAGGCTCTCACTTGTCAGATTTCAGACTCTCAAGGCAATTTAGAGACGTAGAACTTTATGGAACAACATACTATTTAGCAGAAAAACAAGTTTTCTCATCTCAGTGCTGGATGACTTGAATTTAGGGTTATTGCCATTCCTATTACAGGACTGAATCCATATAACTGAAAATATTTTGTACAGCACCTGTTCTCAACTATGAGGAAGTGGAATATTGCTGTAGTTTCCTTTGGCTGGATATGTATAAGAGGCAGCAACACTACTATCACATGGCTAAGCAAGGATCCAAGGTATGAATGGTCCAAACTTCGAACAAAACAATCCCAGGCTCTAAACAGGAAAGGAAAACAAAACAATAGTAATCAATGACTCTTCTCTACGTAAGACATTGAGAAGCATTTTAACTTACTTCAGCTCTGTGGTTTAGATTACTGCCCAGAACAAAACAATAGGACAGAAATAGCAGGTCTGTTTTGGTACACTATCAGTTCACCTGCAACACAGCTCTGGAAAGTCATCCTTGTATCTTAGAGCTGTTCTCAGCGTAGTCATCATCTTCACTCTCACTGAACTGATGTGTTTGGGACCCATGAGCTCCATTAAAGACCTGAGACTGTTTAAAGCCTAGACATAGAGAAAAGTCATTTTAGTGTATCAGATACTCAGTAAAACATGTAGAAGACACATTTTATAATAAAATCAGCCTTCCCTGGCTCAAGACATAATACTCTCTAAGACACCAAAATCAGTTTGATGTTTCAATACAAAATTTGGGGGTTAAGAAGAAAAGAGAATGAAAGGGAATTTGCAAAGACAGGATTATAACAAAAAACTCCGAAGTTATTTAGGCTGTTGACTGATGAGGGAAGAACTGTGGACACTAAAGGGGTTAATGGTTACAGATGTCTTTTGTAAGACATGATTGACAGTATGTCCAAAGCTGAACAGAGCAGACTTTGGAAATATAAAGAGAATAAACCAACTTGCATTAAAAAAAAACCAAACCAACCTACAACAAAAAACCCCCAGAAAAATCTAAACCAAAGCAACAAAACACCTGCAGAATTGACATCCAACTTCTGGCAGAGGAGACCAGCAAGCTTCAGGGAACAGGCAATAGCTCAGTTGTCAACGAAGGACAGAGAGAAATACTGAGATCCAGGAGATATTTCAGTCACAGTAACACTACACTTAACAAGGCAGTACAATGACCAGCATGACAGATCAGTAACACAAGAATAAATGAGATCATGCAAGGGGAAACTCACCATGAAGAAAAAAACAGAACAAGAAAAGATAGAAACAATAGCAAGTGCAGCAAAAGAAATGCTATAAAAATTAAGATATTCAGAAAGCATGAGGACATGGCTATGGACAACAGAAATGAGAGCATCTCAACAGGAATATCTGAGAAGTAAAAAGTTTGAAAAAAACCCAGATAACATGCAGCCCATCAAAGTAGAGGTTATATACATTATAGTGCTGAAAATTCCCTGTTGAAATCCCCTGCACTGCCTCTGTGAGGGGGCTGAAAGGTGGCAGTGGTTAGAAGCACTGCCTCAGCAGAGCAGAATCTTCAGGCTTTGTCTTAAGTTGAGATCTCTAACTTCTCTAAATGCTCTCTACTGTAAAGCTGAAAGGAACTGTTCTGCTAGAAGCAAAGCCAATAAACTACAGTTTCTCTTGGCATCTTATTTACTTTAGCTTTGCTCTTTGGGGCCCTTATATAACCCTGTTCCCTGCAGTAACTCCAGTTTTCGCCCATATTCCCTCATTCTCCCACTGTTGTTTCTTTCACACATAGGAAATACACACTTGGATTCCTCCTCTATAATTACTGGCTGAATGCCTTGTTACATATACCATCTCTGACTGGAATAAGTGCATTATCTGACCAATAAACAAACAAAACAAAGTCCTACCCACAGTGACACATCAGTTTTAAAGAGTCATGTTGGAACCTTAGTATCTTTGAGACTTCAATGACCATTGTGTGATCACATAAGTAAGTCTGGAAAATTAAGACAGCCCTTACTTATCTTTATTTTAATATTCAAAGTTAAGTTTACAAACCATTTTTTTATCCTCAATGCCCACACTGGAACTCAGCAACTGCATGTTAAAAAAAGCCAAGATACCAAGCAACTTTGGTTGCAGATAATCAGCCTGTGGAGGGGAAAAAGAAAAAAAAATAAAAATCCCCAAATAATCTTACTATTAACACATTCCTAAGATTAATAAGTTCAAAATCAGATAGGAAGCGCTAATTCTGAAAGACAAGTGAGAAGAATCCCAAATACATGCACTGTTCCTTAAGAAATGTCAGTGTCCATGAGAGACATCCTTATTAGGCTGTGAATTGTGTTGTTTTCACAGGGTTTGGGGATCTGTGTGTGTGTCTGTGCAGTGTTTTGTTTTGATTTTATGCATACAGGGTATGCATCTTTCTATGACAGGAACACTTCATATGAAATGCCAGCCTTTCACTCACTTTTTGCCCCAAGTAAGTGATGTTCAGAGAATGTCAAATTGTCTTCACTCTCACAATGGGCAAAAAAATTATTGAACAAAACCAAAACAGAATATTTTGATGTCCTTACCATTTGTTCAGGTGATGTTATCTCTCTAGGTCCCTGATAAGGATCATCATGAGATGCAAACGAAGCCAAAATGGACAAACCATTGAAGACTTGCTGATAGTGCTCTCCTATACGCAGCAGCAATTCGTTATGCAGTCCCTGGTAGTCCTGTCTCAGCAAGCTGCCCAGTTCTATCTCGGTCTCATTCTACAAACAAACAGCAAACAGAAACCAAGCCTTCGTTTAAGCATAATGAAAATTAGCACATGGAGACAGGAGGCATTGGACTCTGGTTGATTTACCACAGAAATCAAAGAAAAAGCTTCCAATCAGCTCAATGTTAGATAAACTAAGTTTTTAGAATTTGTTAAGTTCATAAAATATCTCACACCCATTCCTCAGAGCCAAGAGAACGGATTACAAATAGCAATAACAAAACTTCTGCATGTACCCTTTCCCCACCTCTCATTTGCAAAATCTGAAATTAAATAAAGCAGAAAGCTCAGTTGTTGCTCCTAATCTGCAGGTCTAATAGAGCAAATGCCACTTTACCTTGAGGTAATGAAGTGCCCGCTCAAGTTCATCCTTGGAGCAGGAACAGACCAAGTGAGAGAAGATGTATTTGAAGTTATTGATTAAAATCTCTCTTCGGTTTACATTCAGTTGTTTTGCTATGGTTCGAATAAGTGTGGAGGCTGCAGGACTAGCCTTGGCTGCAAGGTCAGGAAGCAAAACCTGCAAGGTCCGCTGGTAAATTAAGAACAACAGTCAATGGAAAAAGCCAACCAACCAACCCCTCCAAAACCCCAAGGTTAGCTCCACTTGTGTCAGCACAACAACAGAAATCTCTGGTCGTAAGTATGACCAAAAAAGAACTTCAATAGAATAGAAATAGCTAGTAAAAATGCAGATAAAATAAAACTAATCACTTTAGGAGCTGATTCATCTAATCAGTACTAAGAAACATGTAAACCAAAAGTGAGCTAGCATTTTTTGTGTCCATCCAGTTTCTCCATAAAAGGAATCTTAAAAAACCCCCCTCAAAATAAAACAAAAACCCAACATGCTCACACACAACACTCCCCCAACCTAGCATTCAACTAGAACATCGTTTACTTAACAGATGTGTATTTCTCATCTGTGAACAAGCAAAATACTGGTGTGAAGCTACTTAGGCCTACAGTAAAACAGATATCTAACCAGACCAAAAAGAGCTGTGTCCACAGAACAGGAGCTTTCTTCACTCAAAACAAGAAAGCTGACTCCATGCAAAAAACACACAAAAGATACCTCTGAGTGCACTAAATCATTACTATAAATAAACTTCACAAGTATTCTAGACCTTAGTTCATTATCTGTCATACTTGAATTAGCACTGTAGCCATCCCTCTAACTCCTCGACAAAACTTTCTCTGTATTTCAGCTCCCAGCTGCAGCAATCCCAGACTATTCTATAACAAACAACAGTAACTAAAGGAAAAAAAACCCCACCAGATCTGTGACATTCACAGAAAAATTGTGAACTAAACTAGAAATTCCCAAGCACACACACAAAATATCCAGTGTAAAAAGGACTGACCAACTTACTGAAAGAAAGCGATTTAGATCTGGAAAATCAAACACATTGGCAACCTCAGATAACATGTCCAGAGCCATTTCTCTCTGGTGAGCAGCTGTTTGCTTCTGCAGCTCATTGCCCTGGCATGGGGCACTCAGCACTGCCATCTGGCTGGAATGCAGGGATTCCACTAGAAACTAGGCATGAAGAAACAGGTATTTAGTATTATTTTCCCCTTGTTCACTCCCTAAAACTAAATAAAAGAGTTTCACTCCTCTTTCTATGCATCTGTTTTCCTCTCTCATCTATTGCACATAGATCTATGAATATTACCTTGTGATAGAACTGGATTATCATCCACTTAGTAATTACATTCAGTTTTGCAGCCCTGGATTCAAATATTCCATTATTTAAAAAATACACAAAATCAGAGAAGTCTGCTTTTGACAACTTTCTTTTAAACCAAACTTTTGTCTTTAGGCAACAGGTACAACAAAAGGACAAATCAATCGTGTCAGTATTATGTCCACAACACACTGACTTCGCTTCCAATTTTAAATCACAGTGTCTTGCAGCAATAGTACTACAGAATGCAAGAAACTAGACAGATCCTCTATTTCAGAATGTCAGCAACTAGGGAATAAAAAAGAGAAGCAACACTATGAGGGGAGATCATGATAAAGATTTCCCATTCTTTCCTGAATGACTGTAGGGTTTTATTTTCTTAAAATCATCTTTTTCTTATCCTAGATCTTGCCTTGTAAAATACTCTTAACTTTTACCTTTAATACTGGTTTTGAAATACAAAAAAGCACCTAAACATATGCCTTTCTAAAGCACCAACTGTTTTTACCTGACAGATAGGCTTCTTGTACAGACTGAAGAAAGCCTGCAGCTTTATGGACTTGGCTGCTGCCAGGGACCGGATTTCTGTGTACGCTGCTCCAGCCACGAAAGGCGACTTGGACAACAAACAGTGCAACAAATGCAAGAGGGCAAATGGTACCAAATCTCCTTTGGATGCCCTTACAAAGTAAGCAGAAGAAAATGAATTAAAAAGGAAAAACTAATTGTTGCATTAATAAACTGACTCAGGAATATACAATTACCATCAGGCAAAATGACTCATTATTGTATTTTTATGGCTTATCTGTACTCCCTGGGACAGGGCAGGAGAAAATGAGGATGCAAAATGACTCATTATTGTATTTGTATGGCTTATCTGTACTTCCTGGGACAGGGCAGGAGAAAATGAGGAACATTACACATGAATCAAGAGCTCTGCACAGTTGCAGTGAACTCTGGACAATGGCTGACTTCAAAAGGAGCAATTTAATCTTACACTTGAACAAAAGGTTACTTTGCATCACAAACTGACACAATTTTGCAATTTTCAAGATACTATCAAAAATACCTTCCAATATCTCCCGTTGTGAGAATCAAGGTGTCTTTAAGCTCATTATTTCTTGATATTTTGGCATTAGTGTAGGCTTCTTTCATTCTTGAAACAAACAGCTGAGACACATGAAAACAAAGCAAAAAATAATTTTAGTGTCTGACATTAATGAAACAAAAAAATAAAGCAAGTTAGGAACAAACCCCAAAAATAAATATGAATTCACCTCTTTTATGAATCCTTCTTCGGAGTCTAAGGATTCTAGTATGTTCTTTATGCAGTCACTGAAAGCCACTCTTACATCTTTGTCTGGATCTTCCATTAGATTTAATAAAGACCCAACAAGAAACTTCACACTGGACTCATCAGTGGTGAAGTCCAGATGCTTGCAGAGCTGAGGTATACTTTCTATAAATGCTGGCATGGTTGGGAGAGAAAAGCAAAAATCATTTTTAATACCTTTTCAAAATCAAAGGAAGTGCACAAACGAAAGCAAAAAACATTTTTAATACTTTTTCAAAATCAAAGGAAGTGCACAAACCAGTGATGCAAGTAAGCCATAAAAAGACCACATTTTGTTAATCAAAAGAGTAGATATTTTCAAACCAGAGAAGCTATTTAAAATTGAAATTTTATCAAATATTACAGGGTATCAGCAGTGACATCAACTGAAACACAACATTTCAAGCACTATTATAGCTATAAAAAACCCAATACAGAATAAAAGGAATGGTACAGAAGGAGTGACTTATTGCCCCACACAGAAGAGTAAAATGCTAACCAAGGAAAAGCCACATACCTAGCTTTACTGAACTGGATCCTTTGTTCTCAAGGAGAGTAAGAAATGGCCTGAAAACACAGGCTTGCACAGCACAAGTGTTTCCATGAGCAGAAGTCACAGTAAGGCTGCTACACAGAATACCATCAGTAACATGCTTAATAGCAGAATCTGCTGAGGAAGGTTGGACACTGAATGCACCAGAAAGGCAGCAAGATAATTTCCCAACAATAGCAGCACAAGCCTCCTTGACTAGCTCAGACTCATCTTTGATTTGATTTCTGGAATGGAAACAAAAATGAAAGAATTTTAATGTATCGTTTACCTAGAAATTGATTTTTCTGCACTGTCTGAATTGTTTCACTATACTGACAGTACTATCAGGACAATTTAAGGATCTGGCTCACTAGATTTTCTCTTTCCTTTTCAGATTACCCTCACGTTCTAGTCAATGCTTGAAGCAGACCTCTGCAACTCCCTGACAGGAGGTTGGAGTCAGGTGGGGGTTGGTCACTTCTCCCAGGCAACCAGCAGCAGGACAAGAGGGCACAGACTCAAGCTCTGCCAGGGGAGGGTTAGGTTGGATATTAGGAAGAGATATTTTATAGAGAGAGTGCTCAGGCATTGGAATGTGCTGCCCAGGGAGGTGGTGGATTCACCACCCCTGGAGGTTTTCAAGCTGAGACTGGATGTGGCACTTAGTGCCATGGTCTAGTAACGACCGTAGGGTTGGACTCAATGATCTTTGAGGTCTCTTCCAATCAGGCTGATTCTATGATTCCATGATTGGGCATGACGAGTCTGGCATTGTAATAAAGAAACTGAAGACAAACACAAAAGGACAGAAGACACCAAGATGTATATACAAAAGACAGAGAAACTGGAAAGATTTTAAGAGACATGGACAAATATGACATAGATTTAACTGACAAAGAGATATCCTTTCCCTTCCTTAATTTAAATTAAGGTCTTTAACTAGCAAAGGAACTTGTATACTGACATGGTGAGTGAACACTATTCTGTCATACAGATATCATCACCTATCCCTATCCTGTCGGATATAATAATCATAGCCTTATGATTTCTGAAATTACGATCTAGCAAATTCTGGACAAAATAGAACATCATCATGTATCCCTATCCTGTCGGATATAATTATGATTTCTGAAATTAAGATCTAGCAAATTCTGGACAAAATAGAAATATACACTTATTTTTGTGCTTATTCCACATTTCTTATTTGCCCATTTTCCTTCTTGCACGAAGACAGAAAAGCATCATTAATACATACAAAAGAGCGTTGGGAATCACACTGCAGGACTGCACACTTGGAGGATGAAGCAGGAGAGAGAATCCTTTAACACAAGTAGCCCGAATTACTTCATGGGGACTTTGTAATGCCCAATGATAAATGGATTTTCTCCAATCCAGGTGAATGTTTCTTGGGAAAAGAGATAGAAGGAACACACAGTGTGACTCAGTTCGCGGCGCTAAAGAGAAAAAACAAAGCAAACAATTACTTGGTTTAACCTTTTAATATCATCGATCAGGATAAGAGGGCAATGAAAATGCTTTTACTTTAGAACAATCATTCTGAAGTGATATTAGGCTTTGTGTACTTGAACATACTTACAGAAACTCTGTGCAGTTATTTGACTCAAAACTAGAGGATCAAACCCAAAAGCAGATGCCTTTAGAGAAGAATCATCAGAATGGCTGCAAATCCAGGGCAGAGACAGCAATCCACATAAATTATCAAGAATCTGATCACTCAGTGGAATTTTCACTAGGGGGGAAAAAACAAAACAACAACAAAAATATGCTTTTATAGATCTCTACAGTTTATCAAACACATTCTTAATTTGCTACAAAATGCTACCTTTTCTATCAACAAAGGTTAGTGTCACCATTCCCACATGCTGATATCCTATTTTAGACATGTAATAATGAATCATGTAGTGCTCTATCAAAATAGCCTTAAAATCTCATTCAACAGGTGATAGCATGTAACACATGAGCTGCATGAATGCACCTTCGCTATCCCTGGATTCGTATGAAGACTGCTGGGTGGATTGTGGGATAAATGGCAAGCTGAACTCATGACAGCACTTTAGTCTTGCTATAGTCTGTGCTCCACCCTGCAAGTTGCTTTTTAAAAAAAACCCATGCAAGTACTTCACATTTTCGGTATACTTCCTGCATGCCAGATTTGCTGAAGCTGGTCACAAACTTTGAAATCTTTGAGTGAAACAAAGACAGTAAGGCATGCAGCCTCTGTGTTTTAAAAAGCTAACAAAAAGTTTGTTCCTTTGTTATGTATTTTAACTACCCCGATGTCCTCTCTTTGATCAGATAAAAATCAATAGAAGTACAGACAAAGAGAAGCAAATCATGTTCAGAAAGGAACGCAGTGAATCTCTCCTAAGAGAGAATAAAGCTTTTTTAATTTATTTAACTTTTCTTTTGTACAAGACTTAGAATACTAGCACAAGATCTGTAATTTCAGTACCTCTGCCATAACAGATAAATATGCAGCCAGATGCATTCCTAATTTACAAATCCAATAAAAGACATGTTAGTTTAAGGGATTTCTCACCTTGTGCATACAGCAAAGCATCAAAGATTTTCACTATTCTGTCAATCACTTGTTCTAGATTAACCATCTGTGTAGCAGCCTCTAACAGGTTTTTGCAGACTTGCACTGCTCTTGTGATAAAATCAGAGGAAATCCACTTGAACTGTATATTCACCACTGAATCTGAGGAGCTCAGAGTATTCTCACATATGTCAGAGTTACGTGGATGAGTTACTTTATGACCTACACTGTTAAAACAGAAGTCACATGATCAATGCAACACATTAAACATTTCACATTGTACTGTTTGCCAGCAAAGTTACTATGTACTGCTTCAAAACATACAGGACTTATCCAGTACTTATCCTGACACCTGAACAAGCATTAAAGTAATCTACACAAATCATAATGGCAATGACAAGAAAGTATTGGTGTCA